GGATTTTAATCCCTCAAACAATTCACCGTACCCTTGCTTTTCAGAGAGAAAGGCAAATCCAAGGACAATGTAGGGTATTTTGCTGCAAGAGAAAACCCCCACAAGGAAATCACCACTCTCAAGATGACATCACAACCTCCAATATCCTTAATATCAATTTGTTGCAAATTAACAAAATTCAAGGTTGTTACTGCCCCTGTTAAACTAGGTCATCAGGAATCCACTCATTTTGCCATGGGTGGAGGACACAGGATGGAGATCTGCAGTGCAGAAGTTTGAGATGAGCAACCTCGTGAGAGAAAGTTAAAGGGTTGGGCAGGAATAAGGTTAAGTAGCAGGGCTCAGTCAAAACGTTAGCTGCTTCACCCAAGGACACAAAGATTCTGGCAAATGTCACACTCCCCGTGTCTCCCCACTTCTGCAAGATGGAGATGATTAAGATAACACTTCTCTACCCGAGAGGGCCCAACAATGAAGATGCTAGAAAAGCATACTACTTTCACCACATTTGAGCAATCCCAATCAGCACTTCATATCTAAGGATTAACCTACAGACCTGCCATGTACCATTTAAACAGCAGCAGCAAAGGAAATGAGGGTCATCAGGGAGAACAAGGAAAACAGACTTAAACAAACACTGCAGGAAAGAACTGCTAGTAATTGTTACTGTGGGACCACAATGCCAGTGGAGATTATCAGCTGCAAACATCATGTCATTTCCAGTATGCCACATCTACATTAACCACAAAACACCAGAACCTGAGGTTTCAGAAGTAAGCCTAGCACTAATCCTAGCAGATCCTTCTTGGTAGCAGGCCTGGCCCCTGGCATTCACTTCTGAGAAAAGTACTAGTATAGCCATTTCTAGAATGGACTGCAAAAGGCAGCACTTCCAAACCAGTTAAATCCTAGTTTCTTATCTGGCTGCTAAGACTCGGGAAACGGGAGGAAAGATGTTTGGTCCCCCTTGTTAACATGACTTCTATATCTTCTCATAGCATCAAGGAGCCCCAGTCACTGGCCAGGACCTCACTGTGGCAGGTGCTGTACAAATAAAAAATAAAAAGGGCCTCTGCTGCACAATCCAGGTTTTAATTTTAAAATCTCATTTTAAATCTTACAAAGCCACCAGATAATACAGTGATGGTTCCAAATCAGTGCTCAAAATAAACCAATACACAGTACAGCAGGTGGCTGATATTCTTTAAATATTTTCTAAAATACACATACCAGCTTGGAGTCAGAGCCAAATGCTGAACTTGGGGGGGGGGGGTCCAAACTACTTCCATCTCCTTGGCTGAGATCCTAACTTCTCAAGTGACTGAGATGCATCTCCCCAAGGGTCCTATACAAATACTCCCAGCCCCACAACTGAAGGATCAGGAATGAGTCACATCCTACAGCCAAAGGGTGAACTGCTGTTTTGGGAGTGAAGGAAGGGGAATAATGGAGAGGATAGAGAAATTGCATTACAGAAGCCTAATAAATGGAACTCTCATTCATAAACTTGACCAAACACTACAGAATTTAAGTTGACCAAAGGGTATTTATAAAAAAAAAAAAATCTTTAAGTTCTGCCAACAGCCATACTTAGGCCAATGTCAGAGGTTTCTTTTTGTAGAAAACTAAAAACTTAATGGAAATGCAATCACTAAAAAAACTACATTGGGAGGTGACTAGAAAGTCAGAGAGAAGAATCAGACAAGCAAAAGTTCTGGATTCATACTAGCTCTAGTCTCCATTTATAGCCCAACCCTTGGCTGCTACAGATATCTGGACTTCTCTCAGATTTGACCTATCCACTGACACATCACAAACCTCCTGTCCTTTTTCTCAAGTCAAGTCAGCCTACAAGAAGCAAGTTGTAAATATAAATCTAACAGGGAGGACAAAGGGTTTTCTCCAACATTTCTCTAGGTTCTTTGATGTAGGAATCTCAATACACTCAACAGAAGCACAAATTAATCTCACGGCCCTCCTTTCTAGTAGGCAAGTTCTAGCATCCTCGCCTGGCAGGGAACGGGAAAGGATTTGCCCACAGCCACAGACTGACTCACTGGCAGAGCTGGAAACACCACCAGGAAGTCCCAGTTCTCAGTGCACTGGGCCACATCCCCTCGCCCAGGAAGGAACACCTAGAATAAGTCACACTCTCCATAAAGATTATCATCAGAAGTAGTGAGTCAGGCAGGGAAGAATTCAAAGCCTCATTAACAACTCTGGAGCGTTTCCAGTGGCATAAGGAATTGGGCAGAGCACAGCAGAAAGGAAAGGTAGTGTGTGGCAATAAAAGCCTAACCCCTCCTTCCAGGGATCTAGGATAAGTTGGTCATCTCCACAGGTCGTTCCACATCTGTCGCAGGACTGGGGCTTCCACAGCCGGCTTGCATACACTGTACTCTCAACATCTGGTTCTCCCATTAGTCACTCCGACACTCCTGCAGAAGGCTTGCATTGCAGTCGCATTGCTTCCTAGCATGGGTAGCTAAGACTATATACAATTAGACAGCCCGCATTTTGAGGTCAGGCATTTCTACCACCTGCAGGCATGCTCAGGCTTCCTGCACTTTGATATACGGCCCCATTTCCTTCAGCACCTCCCTTTTTCTAGGGAGGCTGCGGCAGCTTTTCACAGCTGTTGCCCATCTGCAAAGAATCTACTTCCCCCTTTCAGTCCGTGAATGCCTCCCAATCTACTTGCTTTAGTATTTTCAAGCCTTATTGACGGTTGCTTTCAAAAGGTCTTAGGATTTGAGCGAACCTCCCTAGGCCCCCTGCGATGCACACCCACCGCCAGGCTCGGCAGAGCCGCCTCGAGCCGCCCGCGTGCCCTCAAACCGCACCGGTCCCCCGCACCCCAAGGACGGAAACCCAAGGAACTGCCCCCGCATCTCAAACAAGAGGTGGCCGACCTGGGGCACGATGGCACTGGCAGCCTGTTGGCGGCACCGGCAGCCTGTTGGCGGCACCCGGCAGACTGGGGAGGGAGCCGAGCGGAAAGCGGAGTGGGGAGGGAGCACGGGAGAGACAACGGGAAGCAGCACCGGGGACGGGCAGGCGAAGGGGGAGGGGGCGGAGCGGCAGCGGGGAGGGCTGCCAGAAGCCCGGCCCCTTCCCGGGGCAGAGCCATCCCCGGGATCCCCCGGACACTCACGCGCAGCAGCAGCTCCTGCTCGGGCGGCCGCGGGCACCGCTCTCAGGGTGGGGAGGCTGCGGGCCCCGCCCCGCCCCGCCCCGGCCCGCGCCGCAGCTGCAGGGCGGGCGGGAGCGCCGCTCCGTGCACTGCGCTCGGGGGGGTGGAAATCCGCGAGGGTGGTGCTACACGAGGGGGTCTCTGCCCCTGCAGACCGCATCTACAGGCGTGGGGAGCAGCAGGGATAAAGGTTTAAAAAAAAATCCCACAAAGGCGGGTAGGAAAATAGAGCGGGTCTTGGTGAGACCAGGGCAAGGCAGGGCAGGGTAGGGCTGGTTAGAAGGGAGCCGGTGCTTGCAGCTCCCTCCGTTGAGTGGGGAAGTAGCAGGGAGGCAGCGCTTCTGCATCTGATTTAAGTGACTTGGTGTAAATGGCGTACATGACAAGTGTATGATAGGAGTGTAGTGTGCTGCTCAATAGTCTGACTCAGTTGCCCATTACTATGCAATAAACCCTGGTTTGCTAAACCCGCGTGTTGGTTTTATGTCCAACAGAATCATATTGGGCAAGCACCATGAGAATGCCCTGGATGACCACCCCGCCTCGGGCAGGGAGCACTCCCGTGCCTGTACAGGAAGAGAGGTGTATGTCCAGTACCGAGACTATGCTCTTCAACAAGAAGCCTTCTCCGTGTGCTGTTTCTTCAGAAGGTGAAACGAGGCCCCAGTCCACCGCTAGGGCTCCTACCGGCTTGCAGCACATGAAGACAAGTAAAACAGAAGATCCTGCTCTATGCCTCCGATTTTGGAAAAATCTCACAAGGAAAATACATGACAAAGACTGTTCAGAAAGCTGTGGCATTCACCATTGCAGCAGCACCAGGCCAATAACTGCCTAATATGGTGCTAGCAAGAAGTACCTTGCTTCTTTGAGCACACAAGCTTCTTTAGGTAATGTGGTAATCTTTTATTAGACCACTACACCATTGGAAAACTTGTTCTTTGCAAGCTTTCGGGTACAAACATCCTTAACAACTTTTTAATATCTGTTTTGTACAGAGATCCAGTAAACCTTCCCAGAAGAGTTGCGGTATATTAAAGTCAATGAGCCAATTCTGTCCCCCTGAGAAGTGTAACTTTTTCAGATGCAGTTTTATGCAAGTACTTTTTTCTTAAAGTGGAAAGCTGTGAGGCAGTGGTGCTGCATTTCAACCTAAATGTGGTTTCCTTGCAGAGGATTTTAACTAAAACCTATTTTTCAATAAAATATAGCAATGCAAGTCCAGCAGTTAGGAAGACAGTCACAACTCTCAATGCATACACCTCATCACTAAGTCTGTACAACCTCAGCTCCTTACCAAACTCTTTTCAACCCGTTCCTCAGTCACAATGAACATGACCATTCCTCAACCCATCACCCGTTTTATCCACATTCTTTTTCCTCGGGCAACTGCATAATAAACACTTAACACTGTTTTCATCTATAAACCGTTCAATGTGAAGGTGAGTTCACAATCCATACTATATTTTATTGTGATAGCAAGAAATTGGGTGTGTAGTTTAATATATTTTGTAATTGAAGAGTTTGCTGCAAAGCTGAGGAATTTGTCTGGGTGTTTGCAGGACAGCACATGAGCTAAGGGTGAGGTGGGTATGGCAGTGACTTCCCTACAGTTCTGGGAAGTTGCTAGTTACTGCATGAAACAGAAATACAGCTGACTGCTTGGAGGTGTATTTCACAGCTCTGTAGAGGATGCTTGAAATGGCTGTACCTTGACACAGATTCTCCTCCCACAGCAATGCTGTTTCTGCTCTCCCACATTTCAATGGGGGCGTGAGTGAAGGTGACAAGGAGGGGGAGAGGCATAAGAGAAGGCAGACTAGCATTAGCCCTTTCTTACATTTTCCACTCAAGTGGATCTGTTGAATCTCACCAAGCAAGGTAATTCCTATGCAGGGAGCTTGAAATACAAGACCTGCTGTGGAACTCCCCCAGCACAAACTATGGGGTTTAAGCCTCTCTTGCCAGCCAGCACCCAAGAGCTGAGGTTTCAGACTGCTCGGAGTGCTGTAGTAGAAGATGAGGAGCAGCAGGGCACAGGTAGCCAGCCTTCTGTCACAGTTAACCTGTGTACAGCATTTCCCTTTACAAGCAAGCCACAGCTGACCCACTGGCTTGAGAAATCAAGGAAACTATTCTCCTGTTCTCTCTTTTTCACACCATCTTCAGTGTATTCCCCACCACCTCTGCTGGCCAGCCTGACTCTGAAGTTCCCCACAAGCAACAAGGAAGTGAGTCAAGCACCATCAGAAAACAGCAACAGATAGCCAAACATGACAGTGCTATTCCCTTGTTTAAGAGTCACCTAAATACGATAAATAGGGGTGAGAGGTAGGAATGCTCTAATGGAGTCTGGGATCTGCAGAGGTTCAAGGAAGTGGCAAAATACCAGGAACTCTCTGAAGCCATGCTTGAATCCCAACTGCTTGGGTTTTTAGGTAGAAAAACTAGAGCAGTTGAATAGTTAGGAAGCATGTTCATTTGTATGACAAGTAAATGTTAAAATGGGGACTTTTTCCCAAAGTGGGAAAAGGATCAAGCAGCAGAAAATCTCTAAAGATTAAGTTGCTATTGTACTGCACAACTTTGTAAAAGTTAGAATAGTAATAATTTTGCTAGAAAGGAAGTTAGCAACATCTCTCAGTTCTTTTTTAATTCCTCAGGTATTTCCCCAGATATCAGATTAATCCTTTCCAAGCTAGAATAGGTAGGACTACTTTTTGGCCCCAACTAACCTGTTTGTAGCATGTAAAATGACACACACACAACACACAAATCTGTTATAATTCACGACTCAAAGCACCAGGTTTTCTGGAAGTGTCACCCAGTGCTACAAGTGCTTTTGCGTGTTCACTTTTCATGAATCACTTCTTGCACATCCTTTTGAGAAGTAGGGTGTGGACAAGTTAACATGTATGCAAATGATAATGCACAAAGTACAAACTGGTAGGCAGCCAGAGGCCCAGTTGAGGCCATTTTGAAAGCTGGCCCTACATTTTTAAGTATTACACTCTTAGCCAAATAGGAGAGGTGCATAGGCCTGGTTGGATGGGATGGTTCTCCCTGCAGCCTGCCAAGTTGACAGCTTCTTAAATGAAAATGAAGGCTTTCAAATGTTATTTCCAGACTCTGGATAGATTTCCCCTCCTCACCACAGACTGCCTCATGGACATGCACACAGGGGAACCTCAGTCATTGAAACTTACTTCTAAAAATGAGAATAGTTGGCAAACATTTCTAAAATGCTTACTGATCACACCACAGATGTATATACAGTAGGCTGGAGATAAGAGATCCTTGTTAAGGTGCACCTTTGCAATCCAGAGTCTTTATTCCTATGAAAGAATAAGTTGCAATGCACAGGCATTAGCCACCTGATCAAAATTGTCTGAAACAAGGGATTCGACATCATACATATGTACTGGTCACAGTACAAGATCAGCTGCCTCATAGTAGTTTTACTGCAGAAAGTACTATTTGGGAAAATTAAGCACTACACAAGAATTTTGTCAGAACAGCTCTGCTGAGAAACTAAATACAAATGACCACTAATCTGGCATCATATTTGTTTATAACCCTGCCACTAACCAACCCTCTCTCCTGTTCCTCCCCCCGCCCAAACTATTAAGAGCTGTAATTTTACCCTGTTCCTAGAGAGAGAAATATTTGTTGAATTTTACTAACAGATTTACAGGTGCACATTGTGCTCTCAGTAACTCCTACACAAGGAGCATTGCAAGCCAGGTAGGAACTCACTAGGGGCATTTATACACATACATTTTTGTGCCGGGACACACTGGAGATCTGGTGCATCGAAGCAGACTTGATTAACTGAGTCTGCTCTGAACACGAGCTGACACACACTGTACTGCATGGCATGCAGTTGTGCAAGTGGCAAAATGTGCATCAGTGTGCAGAAAATAGTAGTGGTGCACTTTTGAAATAAAACACCCCTGATGCATTTTAGTTAAAGTGCATCGCCACCATTTTCTCAGCTCATTTTGCCACTTACAGAACTGTATGTGCCGCAGCACCGGGTGCTTTTAAAAGCACCCAGCACTGCGGCGCAAGCATGTGTACAAATGCTGTAGGACTCCAAGCATTGATCTTTTGTATATCAGCCATCAGCAGAAAGCACTGCAACAGACCTGGTTCACATACTGTGCATTCAACCATTACCATACTCAATGACTCATAGCAAGTTAAAAAGAAAGTATTTATAGTTCTATTTCTTTCTCCTCAGCCCTGCAATGAAATTAGATTTATACACATGACCCCAAATAGAATGGACATGAAGGAACAGAATCAGTGTCCTCTACTACAAAATGAGCGTTGTAGTAGAGTTTAAGTATTGTTACAGAAAAAGATTGTTATTAATAAAATTAAATATTAGTACTACTTAATACCGTGAGTTAACAAGTTACACAATCCAAATGCAGAATAAGGAGGTGGTGTTTCTTCACTATGACTTCCTTTTGCCACTAGTCTGGCAAAGATAACAGACCACAAGGAACTGATAAAATTTTTTTTATTATTCACTTTTGAATTCTTTTACACTTTCCTGATTATTTTGTGTAAGGTGAAACTAGAACTGTTTAAAAGACATACACAAATCTAGTACATCAATAACCAGATATTTCTTTTTGCTATACTATTCTCACAACCACATGTGCACTAGGCAATATAACCGTCACAGAAGCAAACTTTAGGCAGAATACTGGTCAGTAAAAACAAAGCGAAAGAGCTACCAGATATACAGACAGGCTCGGTTCCACATTCACTACTGCATTTATCAAGCGCCAAGTATTAACTGCACGATTTGTTCAGCTAGTAGAGGGGAGTTTTAAAATCAGTGCATGAAATTCTCTCTTCAGCAGATAGATGGGCAGACAAACAGATGGATTCTATAACTAAGTGGAATGTTAAGGTAAAAGGATGATACTGCGAGACTGATAAGTGACTATTCCTAATCTTTTCCACTGCATTATTCATGCAACTCTTATGAGGTCTTATTTAATAGGACATGTTTGGGAATATAACTATATGAAAACATTTGGAGTTCAAATATTACAAGTTAATAACAAGCATTATAAATGTGTAAGGTCTGCATTCCAGTAAGAAATAATGGGAAGTCTTGAATATTTTATAATATCAGGATCTGGCTCACCTAGAAAGTGGCAGACAGTAAGAGCTGAAGACTACAGCAGCACTGGCAGCTCTCAAACATCTCACTAATAGACCTGTCCATTAACATACTTTAGTCTCTCCTATCTCTCTGATGTCACCCATAATCGAAAAACAATAGAATATGTAGAAATCCGTATTTTTTTAAGTGAAGTTTAAGCATGTAGAAATCCGTATTTATTTAAGTGAAGTTTAAGCAGGTGAAAAGTGAGGACAAACAGAGATCAGTGGGAGGAAGATTTCTAAAGTATCGACTCAAAAGATGGCAGAGTGGAATATTTAGAAATTTTTCTAGATAAAGTTCAGAATGGGACTACCCAAAGGGACTTCAATTCTCCGAAGAGAAAAGTAATGCAAAGATTGCATTTCACTTAACTGTATTATTCAAATTAATATGGCCATTCATAAAATTGAATCTCTCTCTCTTCCAATTCCATGGTAGTGAACTGAGAAATCTCACTACAAAAGAATAATCTACATTGTAAATAGGTAAATTATTGCTCTAGGAAGGGGCTTAGTAATGCATGTTGTCTGAGCACTAAACAGTTGTTCAAACCCCAGTTATCTGCCAGTGTAGAATTTGGAAATCAAGGTGTTCTACTCCCTCCTCCTCCAAAAATCAAAGCCCCAGAAAAAGTAAGGTTTACTTAAAGTGAGCTATTGACTGAAAGCGGTGCCTCAAACTTGGTTAAAAATATCTAGAGAGTGTGCCTGTTAAACTAATTCGTAGCAGTGTTGCTGAACTGGAATGCCATACAATGGATTGTTTTCCTTCCATGCCCCAGTGTCACAATATAATCTCTATAACTTTCTGTACAACTTTACAACAGAATTGTACTTCGACTATTTTGGTGCCAGATTAAGTTTCCAGAGTTACATAATTAAATGTCTACTTTTCTACCAGTAAGAGTTTTGTAAAGTCAACTGCAATCACAAAACCCATAATCACAGTGTTCAGTTAAAAATATAAACACGGTAATCATAACTGCAAATGTTCATTATAGGAAAGTTCAGAATGCCATTGTATAACTGGTCTTCATTTTAAAACACACAAAACACCAACCGTTTTTACCCCACAGACAGTTTTTGCTACGTTGAGGTTGTGAAAGTCGATGTACTATTCTTTTTGCTTGTCGCACAAAGGGATATATGTGTAGGATACAGAGTGACATTGAACATATAGTGAAGCATGACAGCCATTAGTTCTCTCCCTCCCCAGCGTCCCCTTCATCTCCCTGGTTTTCTGACGTCCATAGCTGTAAGAAAATACAAACATGTTTATGCTGAAAGCATGCGGTTAATTACAATTGTCAGAAGAGGGGAGATGGCATAATTAACTGTAGTTGTGCTATTTTCTTAATTAAAGAGCAAAACATGATTGAGCTTACTACTAAAGCTGCAGAATAATGAACTAAACAGAAAGTTGGATGGTAGATTAATAAAACCAGCAAAGCTTGCAGACAGCACACACTGGAGGAAAGTTAGCTGTTGGGAAGCTGATGATGAAGTGCACTTTTCAATGACAATTTACTGCAGAAAGGCTCAATTGCACTAGTTAACAATCATCCTTTGATTTAACATGCAAAGCAAATGGCTCTCAAATGGGTCCAGTTACATCCAGTTGGTGCAGTTACCCAAGAAGAGATGGTTTGTAGAGCAGAGAAAAGGACTCTACAAAACCTCTGATGCCAAATCCTACTTAGTGGAGTCAGACAGTCTACAAAAACAACAGTGCAAAATATAGTAGTTTACCCTAATGATACTTACAGTAAGGTTGTCCCTAAGTAGTTGCATGATCAGAGTGCTGTCTTTGTAAGACTCTTCATTCAGTGTGTCCAGCTCAGCTATCGCTTCATCAAATGCCTAGAACATGCAAGACAATTCAACATACAACATCTGATTTTTTAATTCTGCGCTCATCTGAATTAAGTTTGGTTTGAATCTTAATTTTTCCCCCCCATACTACATTTGAAGGTTCAGCAACGTAAGAAAAAATTCAAGCCAGGCTACAACAAAGTGAAGGACAGTCTATTATCAAACTGGAAAAATACCATTTCATGATAGGAGTCAAGTGTAAATCCCTACATACTCTAAATTTTCCAGGCTGAAGCGGAGCACAAGTGGCAGGTGTGCTCGCTTCCATATCTAGTGCTTCAAATGGCTCAAGGGCAAACTAGTCAATGGATTAAAGAGGGCATGCTTAGACATTTCCCAGAGTGCCTTCACTAAAAAGAAGATCTCAATGGTTTAAGAGTCATGAAAAGGGGGAGAGAGAGAAAAATCAGGCTGAAAAACTGGAGAGATTCTCAGAGTTGTTTTTGATTTAACATGCAGGAAATAAAACAAGGAAACAGGAAACGAGGGATGTTTACAGATGTGCTCCAGGAAGGGGGGGGGAAGCATTCATTAGCGCAACGCTAATTAAAAGCGCCTGAAGAATCATGTGGATCAGCATCCCAGCGCTGAAAAATGGTGGCAGGTTGCTTTGAACTAAAGCTCATTCAACGAGCTTTAAAGCACCCCGCCGCCATTTTTCAGCACGGGTAAGCTGACATGTGACATCGGAGGCTACTGGATCACGGTAGTTACTACACTCCAGCAGACCCAATTAATTGAGTCTGCTCTGATGTGCTGGAATTACAGCACACTAGAGCAACCTCCCTGCATGTGTCTAGGACCCCAAGGTATTTTACAGCAGAGGAAACAGCATTTTCCACTAAGGACCAATTAATATAGCAACTCTCCCCATCGACCTGTATGCAGATTTGAGAGCTGCCATGAATTTGATCTTTTGTTTCTACTTGGATATGAAACACAGATGTAGCTGTATTTCCAAACCCAATTTAGGTTCCTTTAATTAAAAAAGAAAGGCACAACTAGAAGTAGCCAGTGCAGAACAAGAAAAAAATATTTCTTAATACAAACAGCATTAGGATGCTATAGAAGTGCATTGTAAATACATGCCCTCATTCTTAATGCTATCATTATTCAAATGGTTACCTGACTGTTTTTCCTTAGAAGCAAACAGAGACTATTTAAAAGATACTAGATGAATCCTCTCACTTCTAAGGAAGAGTCAAATTTCATTTTAAGGAGAAGAACAAACCAACCCTCATTCCCTCGTGATCTCTTTGATTGGGATGAACCATTTGATAGCTTAATAATACAGCCAATCATTCTCAAACTGTCTTGGGTTTCTAAACAGAAAGAATTGAATAATGCAGGTCATGCCTGAAGTTTTTTTGGTAAAGTATTATTGGTGATGCTACAACAAAAACTTGCTCTATGCTCACCTCAATGTGGTGTTGTAAGCTTTTTTTTTTTTTTAAATTAATCTATATAGAAATACCAGATTAATGCATATGCTATTTAAGTTTCTTATATAAGCACATTTGGTAAGAACCCTAAAACAGGTGAAGGAAGCAACTTGTCTTATTCCTCAGAAGCTCAACTTTAACAGTCAGCGGTACACCTACACACGCGTTAATGCACTTTTCCTAATGTGCATTAAATTTAGTACCTCCGATGTGAGGTACTAAATAAATGCACATTAGGCTGCCCTAACGTGCAGTACTGAAAGCACGTTTAAGTGAAGCTTAATGCACAGTAGCCTATTTTACTGCGCATTAGTGTACTTGAAGTTTTTTACATGCTTTAATGCACAGTAAAATAGGCTACTGCACATTAAAGCGCACATGTAGACATGCCCACTAACTGTTCTGATTCTGCTAACTTACATGAAGCCACAGACAGATCTTAAAAGGATGCAAGCATCTCTGAAAGAAGGTATTAATTCTCAGACTAAGCCATGTTAGTTACCATACACCTTGACCCCATTCCTCTGTCAAATCTTGATAAGATGAAGAGTGTGCTTACCGTTTTTGCTAAACTACAGGCTTTTTCAGGAGAATTGAGTATCTCATAGTAAAAGACAGAGAAATTAAGAGCCAAACCAAGTCGAATGGGATGTGTTGGCTGCATCTCTTTCTTGCTAATTTCAAATGCTTCCTGGTAAGCCTGCTGAGAATTTGCAACTGTTGCTGGGAAAAAAAAGTGATCACAGTAACATTAATACATAGTAAACCACTGCGTTCTGTAATATTGATTTGTGTCTAAAGCAAGGACTAGTAATTAACTTCCAGACCTAGGCACTGCAAGTGGAGCTTCTGACATAGATAACAATAAATATTTGGTTGTTTTTTAAATATGTATATGGAGGATTTCCCTCAATACTTTTAACGGTAAGAAACTTACCAGTAACTGAATTACTAATGCAGAAGTATTTTCAACTAAACACTTCTTGTAGAGCTTAAAGTTTTGTTTAGGAGTACTCTTAAGATTTAAAATGCAACAATTTATACAAAAATAAAAGCCAATGGAAACAGCTGTTTTACTGCCATTGAAGAGTACCCAAACTGCAAAGTCATTAAAAACCTACCAAGTTGGATGTACAAGAAATAGTTTTGTAAGGTGAAAACTAAAGGTAAGGCCTGGGGTTGGAACACCCTAATAAGTCAGTAATGCTCCTGAGAAGGAAGGGCACATCCAAGAGGCAATCCCCTGTCATTCACTTCCTCCATCAGAGGTTGAGTATAGAGGAAACAAGAACACCATCTTCTCCAGGTTGATGGGTCACACAATAAGCTCCAAAAGAACAGCCCAGTTCTATGTCAGTGATCTACTAGCAATGTCCATCTGATGTCTTCCGAGCAGAATTCAAGCTGACAATTTTAATAGAACGTTTCTAACTGTTAAAGGACCTGCTTATTTGGGAACCCAACTTTGCTATGGGATACATGTGAAGTCAGTAGTGGCACCTGAGCTAGGTGCCCTGGTTTAAACAAGAAGTAGGCTCTGGCAGGGCACTTTACATGAGGTGGGCTCTTGACTCCGGGATGATGCATTCCCGTCCTTTTCCATCAGAACTTAGGTTTGTTAAACTTCCAGGCATACTACAAAGTAGTTTTTGTATGAGAAGTAGGGACAGCAGTGCAGTTGGTTGGATATTGTTTAGACACTGGGGGGTTTTGGCATACTTATTTATTTATTTTAATAAAAGCAGCCAGCCAATATTTTTCAATATTGAAGGAAAATGTTGAAAACTGAAATAAGTACTCCTTACTGAGAAGACACAAACACTTCTCATACTTTATTTCTTATCCTGTTTTCATTCTGATCTGCTAGTTTTATGCACTTTTAAACACAAGAATTTATTTCCACTTACTTTGCTTACTGTCCCCAGATGCCACCTCTGAAAGATATCTGTAGTAATCACCTTTCATTTTCAAATAGAAAACCTTGCTTTCCGGCTGTGTGGCATTGACAATAAGATACTTATCAAGCAGTTCCTGAAAAAAAAAATTGCAGAATTACTGTTTTTGTCATAAAAGTTCCAGCTGTAGTAGAAACATAACTTTTACTACTATTAGAAGTATATATTTTTAACATGCTAACGCAACTAGCTGGACATCTCGTGGGAAGAGCACTCAACCAAATCTGAACAGTTGCAAAGCTTCCTCACGTGCGTGGATGAACTCTGACTCAAGAAGTCTACAGGCCAATGAGAAGTAAAGCGCTACTCAACCTGGTACTGGCAACTGGGGATGACCTAATCAGCGACCTAACAATCGAAGGGAAACTGGGTGACAGCGACCACAAGCTGATCACCTTCACCATCCGCCGAAAAGCTGGCAAGTCAGTCAGCAATACAGAGGTTCTCGACTTCAGGAGGGCTGACTTTGACAAGCTCAGGAGGTCTGTCAGTGAGGCCCTAAGGGACCACGACCCCAAAGGGAGGGGAGTCCAGAAAGAGTGGTTGCTCCTCAAGGGAGTGATCCTAGATGCACAAGCTAAGGCTATTCTGTCTCAGAGGAAAGGCAGCAAAACGGCACAGCAGCCCCCTTGGCTCAACAAGGAACTAGCGGACCTCCTGCATCCAATAAGAAAGACTTACAAAGGATGGAGGATGGATCTACCTCCAAGGAATAATATTCCGCACTGGTCCAGACCCGCAGGGAGTAAACCAGGAAAGCCAAGGCTGCGATGGAACTCCAACTGGCTACAAGAATTAAGGTCAATAAAAAGTCCTTTTTTAGATATGTGGGGAAACAGGAAAAGCAAGGGCAACATTGGACCTCTGCTAAACCAGAAGGGACAACTGATGACTGACGCCCAGAAAAAAGGCAACTTACCAAATGGGTACTTTGCGCCAGTCTTTCACAAGTCCCATGGTACGCCCCTGCCCATTACGGGACAGGGACGCCTGGGTGAGGGCGATTCCTTGCCCTCCATTAACGCTGACCTCGTGAAGGAACACCTGGAGTGGCTGGACACCTTCAAGTCAGTCGGCCTTGACAATTTACACCCCAGAGTACTCAAGGAGCTGGCCAGCATCATAGCTCAGCCCCTGGCAAGGATCTTCGAGAGCTCCTGACACTCTGGTGAAGTGCCTGATGATTGGAAGAAGGCCAATGTGGTGCCTATCTTCAAGAAAGGGAGGAAAGTGGATCCGGCAAACTACAGGCCCATCAGCCTGACTTCTATTCTGGGGAAGGTCTTAGAAAAGATTATG